GCACAGCGCTGCGCACCGTGCCCCGTCTGGATAACAGCAGACTGGCTGCTCGTAAAATATACGACAGGTCTGGACCACTCATGAATTTTGTTCGTATCTGAAAAAAATCGTAGAATACGAAAACATTGGTGAATGCCACAAATTCTCCTAAATCACTCGTACGCACAATTTAAGAACAAATCTGTGCGTAGGAACGGTTCTTGCGTGAGGCCCAATGTTTTTCCATTCTTGCACAATTCTTCATATTACATTTTAATTTTTATGATTAGTAGTTGTATCATGGCTAGTAAGTGTCAATTTTGTTTTGTGTGTACTAGCAATAGTTTGTAAAGTAACTAGTGTGTGAACCTTTGCACTGATGCTGATGTGACACCTGAATTTCCCCGCTGCAGTACAATAAAGGCAATTTCTATTCTATTCTATTCTTCTAAATAATAGCTCACATTAAAAAAATGCCTCTTATCCAAATATAATTCTCCAGGTATTATTTAGAAATGAGGAAAAAGTGCATCTTAAAGATACACCCTTTAAAACAGTTGAATGTTTTTTTCATCACAGCTTTAAAAGTCCATTTCAGTCAGATATAAATAGTGTTACGATCCTCTTAATCCTGTCTGTGCAGGCCTCACAACACTGCAGGTTGTTCTGGATACAGCAGCAGAGAAAAAGTGGCAGGTGACAGCCATCAATGTGGGCAACCTGAAAGACGAGAGGAAGGACGAAGCCTATCGTTCACTCTTCCAAGACCTGGAGAACAAAAAGGAGCGACGGGTCATCCTGGACTGTGAGCAGGACAAAGTGAAAGACATCATGGATCAGGTACGACAGAGTGGGCGGTTTTTATTGTTAATGAAGCACACATGATATCTTTAATGGTGTTGTATTTACCATTAGGTCAATTCTATTACAGATAATGTTTTGAGTTGATTACTTGTCATAGATTTGAGTTTCAACATTCTTATGTGATAAAAAATATAATGCTGCATAATGCACATGCCAAAAAAAAAAAAGGCAAAATGCCGACAACCTCGTTGTCATTGAATTAAATACGTATTTTAAAGTGTATATTAGGTTTTGATTGTGCATTTWAAAAAAGCAGCACAGTCAGATGGACTTGGCAGTCCAACAGATGTAAAACAGAACCATAACAATTACAATAATGGCTCATTTAAACAGAAAACAAAATACAATTAAAGGTAAAACAAATGAGGGCAAACAGGATTTTTTACTTAACTTTGCACCCAAATGGGAGACTCATTGATTAGCAGTTAATGCGTGCTTACAAACCGATTGYCAAACCGATTATTAAAATAAATGTAAACAGGGTTGTTGTCTTCTAATCAGAAAAAAGTACATGTGGAACACATTTAGACAAAATTACTCAGTAAACTTAGGTATAAATTTGCCATTCCTAATGGTATTACGATTGCTCGTCTACAAATTAAAAATAATTACCTGGTTTATAAAATGTTTGTGAGATTAAAGTGCGTGCTGTTACACACAGAAACGTAGTAATCGTTACATCTATAAGTGTATTTACTAGAATGCACAGTTGAATCAAATAAGAGAATAAAAGAAGCAAAATGGACAAATGTAAAACTTGCAGCAACAYAATTTCCACATCAAACCAAGTGTTTCCTGTATAACTTACTGTATGTTTGTTGTCTAACCTCGCAGGTCATCACAATTGGTCGACACGTTAAAGGTTATCACTACATTATTGCCAACTTGGTAAGTTTTAAACAGCGTGTTTAGGTTTACATCTTCCAGAGGGCTTTAAAGTTTTGTCTCAATGCAGTAATTCTGGATCCAACCTTTTTACTCTGTTCAGGGTTTTATCGATGGAGATCTATCCAAAATTCAGTATGGGGGAGCTAACGTTTCAGGCTTCCAGATTGTTGATTTTGACAATCCTTTGGTGTCAAAATTTGATCAAAGATGGGAGGCACTGGAAGAAAAGGAGTATCCTGGTGCTGACAGCAAAATAAGGGTGAGCTTCTGCACTTGTTCTTTGTGCAYGCATTGGATTACATTAAAATGCATTAGTTAGCAAACTGAAATGCTTTAACTTGGTTGCACCATTGTCATAAATGTAAGCATTTACACTAAATCTACACTGAAAAAAGGATTTTTGGGCGAAGTAACATTTATTTTATTATTCTTTTAAATTTTACAAAAAAATGTCAAAATTTATTAATTACTAAAATTTACTACATAAACAATACGCATTATTTTATATATCAATATTACTGTACAAAAAAGGTAAATGCTAATATAATTTTAACAG